CGAGTCCTTACCTCTTAAACGTTCCAGTAGAGTTAGTGTTCCACCCATATTATATGGTTTCCATATAACTGCTAAGGGTGATACGTTTATTAGTGATAGTACACTAATAAATTTGGATGAACCTAACAACTACAAGGAAGCCATGGCGGGCCCAAAGTATGCGAAATGGAAAGAGGCTATGGACAGCGAGATTCAGTCCATGTATGGCAATTAAGTTTGGAACTTGGTTTACAATGTGCCAGGTCGTAAGACGGTCGGGTGCAAATGGATTTTCAAGAAGAAGACCGGCATGGATGGGAAAGTACACACATATAAGGCACGATTGGTTGCGAAGGGCTTTACTCAAACTCCCATAGTTGACTATGATGAGACCTTCTCGTCATTAGCGAAGATTAAATCTATAAGGGTTATGCTAGCCATAGTTGCGTTTCATGATTATGAAATATGGCAGATAGATGTCAAAACCGGTTTCCTAAATGGGAAGTTGGTTGAGGATGTTTACCTGAGTTAGCCAGAGGGTTTTGTCGATGCGAAGTATCCTAATAGAGTGTGTAAGCTTGATAAATCCATCTATGGATTAAAACAAGTGTCTCGCAGATGGAATCTTTGTTTTGATGAGAAAGTCAAAGAATTTGATTTTTCGAGAAGCGATGATGAGTCTTGTGTATATGTCAAAGCCAGTAGGAGTATATTTAGCTTTCCTGTTTTGTATGTAGATGACATACTGCTTATAGGAAACGACATCCCAACCTTGCAGGAGGTTAAGTCCTGGCTTGGGAAGTGTTTCGCTATGAAGGACCTCGGAGAAGCTGCTTATATTCTAGGGATAAGGATATTGAGAAATAGGAGTAAGAGACTAATAAGACTTAGTCAAAGTACTTACTTAGATAAAGTGTTGAAACGTTTTAGCATTGAGAATTCCAAGAAAGGAGAGTTACCAATCCAAAGCAATACCAAGTTGAGTAAGACTCAGAGTCCGAGTATCGATGCTGAGATAGCATAAATGAGTCGAGTACCTTATGCTTCCGCTGTTGGCTTGATCATGTATGCTATGACGTGTACTCGCCCTGATGTGGCCTTCGCTTTGAGCGTGGTCAGCAGATATCAAGGGAATCCTGGTAGAGCTCATTGGACTACGGTAAAGAACATTCTTAAGTACTTGCGGAGGACTAAGGACTGGGTTCTTATCCTCGGTGGGAGTGATGACTTCAGAGTGCGAGGGTATAGTGACGCCAGTTTTCAGACCGACCGAGATAATTTCTGCTCTCAGTCGGGCTGGGTGTTTACACTAAATGGAGGAGCAGTGACTTGGAAAAGTTCCAAGCAGGAGACCGTAGCTGATTCAACGTGCGAATTAGAGTACAGAGCAACGAGCGAAGCGTCGAAGGAGGCGATATGGATAAAGAACTTCATTGGAGATATTGGAGTTGTACCTGCCATTAAGGAGCCTATGGAGATTTTCTGTGATAACGAAGGTGCGGTCGCCTTAACCAAGGAACCGAGGGATCATGGTAGATCCAGGCATATTGACAGAAAATATCACTTCATTAGACATCGGGTAGAAGAGGGACTCCTCATAGTGAAGAGGGTATCGCCAGAGGATAACCCAGCAGATCCCCTTACCAAGGGACTGAGTAGGGTTAAGCACTTTCAGCATGCTAGGAGCATCAGGCTGAAGGACGATATTAGTTTTAGTGATTAGATAGCTTTTAGAAACTTGTAATAGATAAAATGTAATTGACATTTGATGATTAAATAAAGGAGTTTTATTTATGAGTAAAGTTACTATCTTGTGTCAATTGTTTACTATAGTTTCATTTTGCATGTTTTGACTTCCAGAATAATAAGATTATTCAAAATTATCCACAGTCGATCATACTTTGGAAGTAGGTATTGAGGCAAGACTGTTATGAATTGGCTTGTAGATTGTCTAAGCGTTTAGACATAGCAAAGTTTTGGAAGTAGGATTAAACCCACGCTCATGTGAATTACTTCATGGAATTAATCACGAGTGATTGTGAGACGATAATATCATATAGTCTTTAAACCTAGATATATGAGTTGTTGTTTACGAGTTGATTGTGCATTGATAATGCGTAAACACATCAGTAACTTGATGTTATAAAACGTATTGTTGTGTACGATTTGATGAGTAAATAGTACAAGCATATAAGTCGAAGTTTATCTGTTCCTTTTATCCTACGAGGTTGAAAGCGATATCTTGGGCCCCTCGATGATTTGGTTTGACTTATGTGTCGGGCCCGGTCAGGACTAAGTTGACGTGTTCAATTAAGTTCTATGTCAGACAAATCATAAATCGGGAAACAAACTGCTGGACAATAAGTATGACTATGTTCTATGTATTTGTCCACACGATATCTTGAGAACGGAGGACTATACGATCCATTATCTAAAGGACGTGTCAGAGTTCGACAACGGCTTTTGAGAGCTACGATTGCTAATCGGATTTTGAAGTCCTACTTGCATTTATAGTTATTAGACTTATCCAAGTGGGAGACTGTTGGATTAGGTGTCTAAGCCCATAACTATAATTGGTATGTACTTGATCCGATAGTAGCATGGTCCTTTTGGGTTGCCTTACCAAAGCAACTTGACTGGATGAATTATGGAGAAAGAGGTTAATTATGATTTATTAATATATTATATGAATAATATATTAAAAGAGAAATCATATTATTTAACTGATATTGGTCAAGAATTAATTCAGAATTAATTTTGTGGTCAAAAGAGATTAATTAAATTTAGGGGACGGATATTGTAATTATAAGATAGTTGCAAAATGGGATGAGGATCTCTTGGATAAGAGATGGACGAAATCTTATGGAAGCTCATAAGGATTTCGTCCAAGGATAAGGTTCTGGAAGGATCTTATGGGCTGCTTAGGGTTTAAGCAACCAGATTTGGTATTTGACTGAAACCCTAATTCTTCAGCTATATAAGGAACCCCTTGGGCACCTAGAATCGGCTACCAGAAACCGTAGAAGGATCTTAGAGCCGATTTTGAGCCTTCTTCTCTCTCTCTCTCTCTCTCTCTCTCTCTCTCGTATTCTCCAACTTGCTTCTTGGTGTTTGTGATCGATTAGAGGTATTACATTTGTGATACTAAAGCTCTCAAAGGTTAAAGACCAAGCTACAATTGAAAGGCAACTTTCTAACTTTGTTTTTAGTTATGATTTTTGATTTTTGTATGCTAGACATAGGGTTTATAAGCTTTGGATGATTATTGCATGTACAATTAGAAAAACTAGATCCAAAGCTTTAGGGTTTGCATGTGCACCATAAGATTGTTGTTTTGCTCAAAACCTATCAATTTCTTGGGGATTGAAGTTGCTCAATCTCCAAAGGGTTATCTTTTATCTCAAACGAAGTATATTTCAGATTTGTTTAAACGTGCACGACTCACGGATAATCGAACAGTTGATAAACTTATAGAGGGTAATGCAAAGTACTCTCCAACTAATGGTGTCCCATTATCAGATCCAAGCCTTTATCGTACCATTGTTGGGAGTTTGGTTTACCTGACTGTCACTAGACCAGATATTGCTCATGCAGTTCATGTGGTTAGCCAGTTTGTCACTGCTCCTCCTACTGTTCATTGGGGAGCTGTTCTTCGTATTTTGAGATATTTACGTGGTACTCAGTTCTGCACTCTTATGTTTCCATCTACATCATCTCTTGAGCTGCGTGCCTATAGTGATGCAAATTAGGATAATGATATTTATGATTGTAAGTCCACTACTGGGTATTGTGTTTTTCTTGGAGATTCATTGATATCATGGAAAAGCAATAAACACGATGTTGTTTTTCGATCTTCTATAGAATTTGAGTATCGAGCCATGGCTATCGCAACTTGTGAGATTGTTTGGTTGAGATGGCTTCCTGCAGATATGGGTGTTCACATCTCTCAGCCTACCCCTTTGTATTTTAACAACGAGAGTGTGATAATGATCGCCAAGAATTCAATGTTTCATGAGGGCACAAAGCACATTGAGATTGACTGTCATTTCACATGTCATCATCTCCAGAAGGGCACTATCTCCCTTCCTTGTGTTCCTTCCTCTTTGTAGATTGTTGATATTCTTACGAAGCAGTTGACTGCTCCTCGTTCCATTTTCTGTCTGACAAACTCTCAATGCTTATTGTTGTTGCATTGTGAGTTTGAGGGGGATGTTAGTCTAATAAGATTTTGGGCTTTATCTTGTATTGAGTTTTATGATTGGGTCTTTTAGTTGAGAAATCCTAATTAGCTAGTCTATATATTATGTCTTTTCCTTTCCTTGTATTTGTACCTCTCTTTGATAATAATATGAAACTCTAGCCGTTATATGTCTTTCACTTGTTAGTTTACATTAAATACAATGGTTTTTTGGAAACTGACCGTCTAAAGATAATTGTTGGAAAAAAAAACAATTTGCAGAGTAAAATATAATCGTTATTCGGTTGCAATGACAGAACACAACTAATCATTGCACATCGAATACATTTAAACTAAACCCTACACCCTACACTAACTTATGTTTTAGAAACAAACTATCCATCTAAACGAAAACTACTTGCCCAAATAAAATTGTTCAACGCACACATAAATGAAACTAATTGCCGAGATGAAATTATTTGTCAAAGAGTAACTATTCAAAGTAAAGAAGGATTATTGTGTTATTGTTTATTTACTTTTATTACATTTCCGTTATATTTAATTTTTCATATATTAACGTCATTTGCATAATTGATTGTGTTTTTTACATTCTATTTAAATTATATTATATCATAATTTTATTAAATGTATACAGATAGAACGTATATCGGATACTCAAATTAATATATATATATATATATATATATATATATATATATATAAATAAAATTTGTATCTTAATTTAACTTAATTTTCTAAATCTTTTGTTTTTCATTTTCATTTTTAGTTATTAATATTGTTTTTAGTATCACATGTAACGAGTTTTTTTTTTTTCCTTGAAGTCATGGCAGCCTCAAAGCCACAGTTCTGGCGCACGTCTCTTCAATCATTTCATGTTTATCTGAGCACAAATCGTTGGTTGGTATGTCAACACAACACCCGTTCAAAACCCATTTCTGATTATAAGCTCAGTTAACACTCTACAACAACAATTTGTTTCTATCAAACAAGTTCGATTTCGAATTTCATACACTTCAGGTCTACTATTCTGTTCAAATCGTCGATAATATGAGTGTTAATGACCCAAACGAAACCCTTGATTCCAGAGTATTCGGTAGAAATCGCTACAAGTTCCTGGCACTCACCGCCATTATCCTCCTTGCTCTCTGGTCAATTCTTACAAGCACCGTTACTCTTCGCTTTTCCGCCGGCAGCTTCTCCGACGACATCGCCGGTGGCTCCCTTATCCTCGACGATTTCGACATCATTGTCCGTTTTTTCCCTTACCGATTTGTGCTTTTAATTTGATTGATTGATTGAGCTAATTGTTGGTTTTGAGTAGGAAATCGAGGCGCGGGAGAAGGCGGTGAAGCATATGTGGGATGCGTATATCAACGATCGGCGAATCAAATTGCAACCGTTCTGGCAGGCGGCGTTTGTGGCTGCTTATGAGGATTTATCCGGTGATGTGGCGGAGGTGAGAGAAGCTGCGATATCAGAGATTGCTAAGATGTCTTTCTATTCTACCGATATTCATCTTCCAGATCTCGAAATCGAATCAACGGTTTGTGTTCTTGTGCATGTGATCATAATTATCACACAGGATGACGTTGAATTAATAACACTGACTTGAATACGTTATGATTTTTGTTTGCAACAGGATTTACAGTTACAAGAACTACTCGCATGAAATTAGGGTATGACTTGAAGAAGAACACAGGATCAAATTCAAGAAGAGCTTCCCCACTTTCTGAAAAACTGTAGCAAGTTTTATACAATTTTGTATTTTTTGCGTAATGGAAAATTTTATATCTTTTTTTTTTTGGGTAAATAACATTATAACATTTTGTATTTATTTGGTTACCAATCACAAAAAAAGCATTTTTTCTGATATAATGGAACCAAGAGCGAGAATTTAATTGCAATTCCTTCTCCATTTTTAATGAAATCTATCTTTCCTAAAGTTAGGGTCATATGTGCTTATTTGAAAAATGTTATATGTGCGTCATTTGAAAATATTTAAGGGTTGTTTGATAGTTATTGATTGAGTTCAATTGAGTGGTTGATTGAGGAAGATCCATGGAGTCAATGCGTGATTAAGTCGGTCATAGTAAAAGACATATTTAAAGCTATATGACCAAATCAAATATTTATAATTATGATATCAAATGGTCTCATTTATAAACGAGTTTATCCAACCTCTTCCTAGACCAAATAAAAATGATATCAAACATCCTCTTATATATAAACACATATACAAATTATTTGTTCTAAATCCATCATCATGTATGATAAAATATAACCCTTGAAACAACCCTCCTTTTAACCATTTCCTAAATGGATTCACGTGTAGATTAAGGTCCCGTTTGATAGTTTCTGTCTGGTAAAGTGTTGTCTGGTAAAGTGCTGTCTGGGAATGTTTTCTGATTGGGAAAGAAACCATGATGTTTGATTGTACATCTGATTGACTGTGCTGAATGATGAAAAAAAGTAATAATTCAATAAAAAATAAATTTTAAAAAAATTATTTAAAAAAATTAATAATCCAATAAAGAAAGAAAGAGGCGGGGTTTGGTGTATAATTGTCTTTCCAGCCAATTCAGCCAGAAAGATATGATTTTGGGGCTTTCTGGGAAAGACATGTCTTACCGGGAAAGACCCCTTCTTTTGTGCAAATCAAACAGTCTTTCCGGTCCATTCAGCCAGAAAGATTCTGGACCTGGAAAGATGCGTATCAAACGGGGCCTAACATTTACAAATGAAAATACAACGGACGCTTTATCTAAATTAATGTAATCATGATATGGGAAAACAAAAGAATTTAAAGGCTTAAAGAACCAAGAGAACGTTTAAGATTTAAGACTAGACAAAATTGCAAAAATGGTCCCTATGGTATGATTTTTTTGGGCTTTAGTCAAAACCTCGATTTTTTTGGATTGGTGGTCCTTTTTGGCTGGTTTCTTTGCGTTTTTGGTCCCTCAGTAAACTGAAAAGACTATTATGCCCTTTTGATATATTTTTTATGGTTTTTCTATTTAATTTAAATGAAAAATAAAATAATTACCTAATTTGGGGCCCACATCTCTCTCTCTCTCTCTCTCTTTCTCTCTCTCTCTCTCCTTTGACGATTGTTTTTCTCCCCCGATCAAACCTTGAAACCACTATTTTCTGATGAAAATGGAAGTTGTAAACCAAAATAAGAACCTAAATCAACAACCCAAATCTCGAACCCATTTCTCCTTCTTCACACCCAAAGCTTTGATGAGATAAACCAGCTCCAAAGACCCTTCTTTTCATTCAATTGTTGTTGCCATCAAGAAGAAGAACAGGAGGCAGTTGCCTCTTCTACTTCGCCTGTCTTCTCCTTCGTTTCCTGTTATGAAATGTGTGACTCGTCTTGGAGATCGGAAAACATAGACTGGTTCGAGGCAACAGCCCCTTGTTGCTCCACCCTTTTACCTGTCGATCGTAGTCACTGAACTCCCCCTGAAGACTGTTGCGATCGTTGCTGCCTTTCCCCCTTTCATCCTCCATTTCTTCTTCGTTCCCTGACCTGAACCCACCACCGAAGTGGGTGTTTCCTCGGAGCAAACATCGGAGGCGACAACCCCTTTTTGATTCCCCACCTTCGCACCTTCCTTCTGAGACAGAAGAAGCGCATGAGCTGAAGGCGGTGACAGACTCGAAGATGATTGAAGCATCGAAGGTGATGGCAATATGGTTGCTCCGTTGCTCTTCTCGAATGCTTTCCCTTTTTGTTGTCGGTTGTGGAGGTGAGTAGCACACGAAGTGAACGGAGGGTGTTTGGGCTATTTGATCGACGGGAAAGAAAATGAAGGAGGAAGGGAGTTGCAGAGGTGGTGGCAGCCACCGGTTCTTCTTCCCTTGCTGGTGGTATCCAAGAAAGAGAGAGAGAGAGAGAGAGAGAGAGAGAGAGAGGTGGGCCCATTTTTATATTTAATACTAATAATAATTTTAAAAATAGAAAGAAAAAATAAAAACTAAATTCATTAAGGGTATAATAGTCTTTTTAGTTTGGACAGGGACCAAAACTGCATGTAAACCAGCCCAAAATGACCACAAATCCAAAAAAGTCTAGGTTTGAACTAAAACCCCAAAAAAATGCATACCACAGGGACCATTTTTGCAATTTTGTCTTAAGACTATTAAATGATTTGTTATTGTTTCGACTCGTAAAATTGTTGTATCAAACAATAGAGAATCTTTTTCACTAATCTTTTTCATGCGTGATCATGAGATTATAAAGCTCAAATTATCTTGACAATAGCAAAGTTTTTAATAAAGCTTATTTATATGTCTCAATAAAATAATATAAAAAGCTATGCAAATGAGGGCCTTTGGATTGTTGGATTCTTTTTATGGGACTATGGTCTATGGATGTCTCGAAGAGTTTTGGATGTAGATGGATTTGGATTTAGAAGCATTTAGATAATATTATGTGTTTGGTTGCTAAAATTCGAACATAATTAACATATACTGAATCAGAGCTTAAATTATTGCCTTCTCTAAAATATTTTAAGAGTTGACTTTTAGGAGTATTCATTAGTATTCAGTTCGGTTTTCGATTCATCAAATTTCTATTTCTTGGTTTAGAGTATGTCCGGTCTGGTTTCAGAACCAATCTCAACCCAATACAAAGGAAATTAAACATAGAACTGGAACCGAAACCGTATGAGAATTGTATATCTTAATCAGTTGGGTTCTCAATTCCTTGACATTTTATTTTTCGATTTCAGGTTTGTCTGGTCCGTTCTGAAACCGATCTTATCTCTACTTATTAGGCTTTCCAAGCCTAACCCTTATTTTAATATGTATTCAGGTGAAATATTTAGTTGAAAGACGATGATAGGATTAAACTTTGGGTATTTAAAAGACTCCGAATTTATAATTAAATCATTTTAAGATGTTTATGTTGTTTACTTTACCTTTGTCTTTGATTATTTTGTACACTCTCATAGCACTTGACAAAATTTAAAAGTCAAAGACTTGACCAAGTGGGGTTGTTATTCACAAAATGTTTCTAAGATATTTTTTTCCTGAAAACATAAAGAATTTACAAATAGCCATACGAGGGGTATTACAATCACCATCATATATTAAGCTCAAAATTTCATTGAAGCTCTTTGAGAGTTAGAAAACTCAACTAGATCAATAAGTGGAAATCTCAACATATAATGGATTTCGTAGTTTGATTATGTGTTTAGAAACTCAAATCAAAACTAAGATTACAAGCAAATTCATATATTAGAGTTCATTTGCAAAATCTACAATTCTTAGGATGTGAAGCCTTAGAACACCTCATTTACTCAAAACCAAGCAATATCTATAGTAATGATGATTAAATAAGTAAATGCTTGATGATTCTATTGTTAGAACTTGTTCTAAACTTTAATCAACCATAATATTTTGAATGTATACAAATCCAAAACCTTAGGTGGCATCCATGAAGAAAATGACAAGAGAAAATGCAATTTTTTTTTTGCCTTTTAAGTATGTTTTCAATGTATTTTGCAGTAGTGAGATTATATTTATCGTGGTTATTTGCTTTATTAGTTATTTTGTTGTTAAAAATATTTGTCCAAAATGAAAATCCTGATCTAAAATCCGATAAACTTGTCTAAAATGTAATCATAATTGATTTAAAATAGGTTTCGGTATGTGTTTTGTAGTAGTTAGGCTAGATTTGTTGTGGTTAGGTGTATGCTTAGGTATTATATACATAAAAGAGTAAATTACACGAATGGTCCTATGGTTTGGGTAATTTGTACGTTTGGTCCCTAACTTATTTTTTTTATTCGGAAGGTCCATACTATTTGTTTTTGTTGCGCATTTTGTCTCTGTCTTACCTAAAAAGGCTTTGCCCTTGATTTTTTAATTTATTTAAATAATGTGATGTAGGTAAGGTAAGGTAATGTGAAGTGGAGGTGGGGTTGGAGGTGTGTTTATTTAAATAAATTAAAAAATCAAGGGCAAAATATTTTTTTTAGATAAGACAGGAACCATACGCGCAAAAAAAAAAAAACAAACAGTAGAGACATTCCGAGTTAAAAAAATAAGTTAGGAACCAAACGTACAAATTACACCAAACCACAGGGACCATTCTTGTAATTTAGTCTACATAAAAATCTTTGTCGCAAATGATACACCTATTCTAAAATTTGATAAACTTGTCTAAATTACAACTCCAAATTAAACTGTGACTTGTGCTTCTTTTTATATTATGAATTTTGTTATTTCAACATGACCGTTTGCAGGCCCGTCCCAGAGGGTGGGCGATAGGGGCGACGGTCCAGGGCCCATCTTTTAAAGGGGCCCAAACTTTTTATGGAAATTGTTATATTTAGAAGATAGTATAAATAATTTTCTTACAATTATTGAGTTATTATAAAAAACTTGATGAAATTTGTGTATTTTAAGGGCCCATTTTTTGCTCTCGCCCTGGGCCCGAAATATGTTTGGAACGGCCCTGACCGTTTGTAATATGATCCTTTGATTATGAAGTGTAAACCAAAAGTTGATAGCAACTTACCTTCGAAACTACAACCTCATCTCTAAATATTATTAAAAGACAACTTTAAATTCTAATCTTAAGAAATCAGGACCATTCATTACATTTCAACCCTTAATTTTTCACCATTGGATTGTTTTGCTGACATCATCCTGGTTATTCAAACACCGTTACACAATTCTCTATTCTTTCCTTCGTCATCTACCCTTTCTCTCTCACTCTCTCAATTCTAACCTAAAGAAACATAAAAATCATTCCTTTTTTACTTCAATCATGCCAGAAAACATATCCCTAATTAACATCTACCTCGCCTCTTCAAACGCCTCCAGGAATAAGGTTAGTTCGTCTTGATTTTACTCCAAAATTCAAAATTTATT